GTAACACGATTTTACAAGACGAAGAAATATGAAAACTACCTGCTTTTCTGATGAGACTCATTCACCCTATTCCCTTTCTTGAAAAAATCACATGGCTGATCATCATCTATGATTCGATGGACTGTCTAAAAAACAGAAGTGTAGTAATAAATACCGTGAACACACACAAGGAACAAACAAACAAACAGAAAAACAGAACACATCTAAGTAGGATTCTCCTTCAGCGCTTACATCACCTTTTCTGTAGTGCTCGAAATATTCTTGCTCAATCTGTTGGAAGATGGTGACAGCTGGGGAAGTGACTTCTTTATTCCTCTTATATTTGCAAAGGGCTCACCACCGCAACTAGAAGCAACAGAACTCTGTCAGTAAGTTTTTAAAATTCTAGTTGACATACAATATTATATCAGTTTTAGGTGTACAATGTAGTGATTAGACATTTATATACTTTATGAGGTGATCACCATGGTAAGTCTAGTACCCATCTGGCACCATAAATATTTATTAAGATATTGACTGTATTCCTTATACTGTACTTTACAGCCCCGTGATTAATTTTATAACTGGCAATTTGTACTTTTTAATCCCCTTCACCTTTTGCACCCATCCCCCACACTTCCCTCCTATCAACCATCAGTTTGTTCTCAGTATCTTCGAATTAGTTTCTAAATACTGAACACTTCACAAATTTGTGCATTTGCGAGTGATCCTTCCCTGGGGTTGTGCTAACCTTCTCTGTATGGGTCCGATTTTAGTGTATGTGCTACCTAAGCAAGCAGTGAGTATTTATGGCACATGGTCCTATGTCCAGTATTGGGCTGGCTTTCACTTGTTTGGTTGTAAATATTCACATCGTATTAACGTATTTGTGGGGATATTGCCTTATGTTTACAGTTTAATATTTTTCTTGTTTGTTTTTCACAGTGGATATTGGATGCAAGATCCTACTATAAATGCTGTGACGATTCATACACACGCACACTCCTTGAAAATAACACGTTGAGGAAACTTGTGAGGCTTAATAAAGGTCAGGTGTCACTCCAAATCTCCCATGTCCATTCATTCATTCATTCATTCACGAACAGAGGAGTGCCTAAAAAATGGCAGGATTGTGCCCATTCCCTGCTCTCCTGGAGCTTAAACTCCAGTGGGGACGCTCCCTTTCAATTTTACTTCACTGTCACATCAACTTATTAAAAGATTATCAATATATTAATACATATCATCTTATTTCCTTGTAAAATTTTGTTGAGGCATGTCACACAATGTTGATACTGCCTCTTATTTTGAGTGACCTACTAAAAAGTGCTCCAATTCGAAAGTGAATACTTCGATAATAGCCCCTGCCTCTATAAAATGAGAAAGAGGTGGGATGATAGATTTGTATTTAATTCCTGAAACTTGGCTGTATTCCTTTTCCCAATAGGCACGTATGCCTTTGTACTCAGTTTCCATATGATGGTAATAAAAATCCCATATGGGACCCCACAATTAATGAATTATAGCACAATCCACAGTTGATTCATTTTAGATGTACAGAACGTCCTTTATCAACCCTCTTTGATTAGTTTGGTTTTCTTTCTGCCCTGTCCCTCTAGGCAGTAAAAAAGGAACCCTCTAGAATTTCTGGCCCCAAACTGCTCCCTAGAAAGCGAACTTCTATCTTTTCACTTCATTTCACCATAGGCTGTGGCGTTTTCTGCACAAAGTTAGTGACATGAGATGCGTGCCTGCGGGNATAAATAAAAATTAAAAAAAAACATTCTGTATAGCAAGAAGTAGGCAGAGGTTTTAAAGGTATTCATGATAATGTCAACCGTAGTCGCAGCATAACTACAGGGACGCTTAGATGTTCCCTATCTGCAGTTAACTGAGAGTTTAGGAGAGCCAGGAAACCAGAGGCCCAGTGAGGATGCTAAGAAGACCTCAGTAACTTTATTGATATCCACCCCATCTGGAACTGCATCCTCTCCCCTTGCCCCCAGCAAGATGATACACCTGCTCCTTCAAACTAGAACGCACCGTTATTTTGTACAGACAGCAGGATCCAGGTCCCAAATCAGTGACCAAGTACTGGTCAGATTCTAAGTGGTTCCATGCGTTCCTACCTTCATTTACAAACTCCTTCATTTACAAACTCCAAAAGGTGGTTTTCCTGGGGTTCCCCTTCAGAGAAGTCACGCATGCCAGAGGTTTTAGGGTGCCAAATATTTCACGCTTACCCCCCACCACCAAACAGCAACAGCATGCTTGCACCCACTGACTCCTCAGTTGGACAAAGTCTGGACACTCTTTTTATCCTGTTTAGAGAACACAAAAACGGACCTCACTATCAGCTCTAAATTTAAAATGCCTTTTTTTTTTAACTCATGTCAAGAAAAATGTATGAATGCACTAGGCTGCATGGTCTGTAAAGAGCAAGCAGCTTTGTGATAAGTGACTTTGCTCAAAATAGACGCTCCTGAACTTGAAGAAGAGCCGGAGCTGCTTCTGTTGGTGAAACAGACAGAACTGCTGCTTGAATGGTTTATGGTGACGATGCCGAGAGCCCTGATTGCTTCAGACGTTTCGGATCCTACCCCATTTAAAACGGTCTATTTTATACTAGGTTATATGTAGTTATATGAGAAGTAAGTGGGGAGCTGAAGGGTTCTACACAGCTGCCTGCGGTTTCAGAGGTTTAGCTGACTCTTCCCCAAAGAGTTGTCTCTTTATTCCTTTATGTGGCAAAGACCTTGGTTAATTTTTATCCGAAGGGCTATCATTTGCTTAAGACTATATCAATGCAGAGAAAGGCTTGCTAAAAGGCAGCTTGCTTTGAAAAGAGCCCTGGTGGGGGTGGAGATGGACTAAACAACCAATCCACTACTTCAATGCGGTCATCATCAAACCCCTGACAATTCACAGTATTGTAACTTTTGGAGGCCCTCCCTCCACCCTTTGGGGGTCGGCGGGTCTTCCCACCCGGTCCTTTCGGAGGTTATTTGAATTTATGTGCATTTTGCTTCCCTCCGTTTGTTTTGAGTTTCTTCTCACCGGACAGGGTGGCGTGGCCGCAGTTATGTGCGTTTCCCTTTTTCCTAAGGTTTGCATGGGCTTGTGTTCTGCAGGCCTTGTAGGAGTCGGCGGAGTCCCGGATCACAGCCGATGGCCTGGGAACCCGGAGGTTGCCACTGCTCTCAATCTTAGGGCTGCCGTCACTGCCAGACAGGTCCCAGCACTGCAGCCTGGCGCCCCTGCCGGGCTTCTTCTTCTTGTCCTCTGTCCTCACGTCCAGGGGCTGCTTCTGAGGACACAGTCTGCTACTGCTCAGCACCTGGAGGGGCGCGGGCGCAGCCTCAAACGTGTAATAGGGCGGGCGCCCCTCTTCACGGTGAAAGCCTTTCCTTCGGGAAGGGCCTGACTTGGGAGCCCCTTCCTGGTGGGGCCTGGACAGGGCGCTGGCCATCAGCTGGCCTCTCCCAGGGCTTTTCAGCCCTGCGGTCCCGGGCGTGGTGGGCGGCTTGGCTTTGGCCGTCTTTCCTCGTTCGCCCTGCACGGTCTGGCTCTGCAGCCACTCCAGCTGGACCAGCCTGTCGATGTACCTCCCCAGCAGCCCCGCAGCCCGCGGCACGGCCCCGGGTCTGTGCTCCGCGTTCAGAAGCACAGCCATGTCCCGCAGGTCCCAGGAGTTGAACGGTGGTGGAAGGAAGTCGGGGTAACAGTATTCCGCCGGCCTGGCCTGGCCTGGNATTGATCTCAAGGAAGGAAAAATCTGGATCCACAAAGACTTACATGTATCTGATTTATTACATACAAAACCAGCACGCAATAATCACTATAACAGCAAGTAACATACATGCTGAATATTTCCAGGCCACTTTGAATGGGGCTCTGTACATGTGCATGAATAAATAATGAATACTGCCTCTCTCTTACCTTGAAATACAGTACCACAAGAGTTTTATGTTTTTATGTAACTAATCAAGTAAATCAGCATAAAGGAAAGAAGAAATACGCAATAGTTATACCACGTAAGGTAGAATTCTTAGGTCTTTCTGGTGACTAACTTAACAGGCCTAAGGACCCTTACAAACCGTCTTCCTTTTAGCTCCGAGCTATCATAAGACCAACGATAGCCTCTCCACCATCTTTTTGTCAGGGGCCACCAATCCCACCCCTTTCACAGTAGTTACAAACCTTCAACCAGTTTAGTCATTAAAGCTTCGAGAAACAATCTAAACAATTGTAGATAATACTGATATACTTTTGTAGTGCATCTTTGTATGTTTTTAATCTTTTCCCACAAACTGACTCTAAGCCTGAAGTAGTTCTTCTTACATTCTCTAAGCTTTTCAGAAATTATTATTTTTTTACCTCGGATTGTTCTAATTGGTTTAACTGTAAGTTATATGTAAACAACTCCCCAGAAATGAGAGGCACTTCCCAGAAACACAGTGGCTCATGGCGCTAGGCTGGCAGGACATTCAGCGGCTTAGACTTGATGAACTGAATGAGTTCATGGCCCGACTTTCCAGTGATGTCTACTTGAAAATGGCAAGCTCTGTATCTG